CGGGCGTGGGAGTCGGGGGGGAACGGCGAGGTGCTGGAGCTCGGGTTTGTGCGGGAGGATATCTGCGGTGCGGCTGGCAGCGGGCTGCGTGCTCGCCGAAGTTCCCAGATTAGTTCCAGATGAAAAGGGTCTGATCTGCATTAGAAAACTTTTAATTCCTTATTGTTGCGACCAGTGATTTGTCCACGCTGTGGAGAGGGCTTATTAAAGCAGACGGGCAACTGGTAGCGCTTTGCTCTGCGCCCTCCCTTCCCCTCCCGAGAAGGAGATGCTTAAAATGCCAGTAGTTGCTGGAAGAGCGAACGCTATTGCTCCCAAATCTGCTGCCACCCGCAAAAAGAATGGTAGCGGTGGTGGGATATTGCGAGCATACTTTGAAGGCAAATCCTTACCGTGTGAGCTGGAGGTTATTCTGTTACTAAGCTGAAATGTAGCTGAGCTGCAATGGAGATTTGTTCCTTCTGCAGCATCAGCCCTGATTACCGAATACTGGCACAGCTCTTTATCAGGTTTTGTTACAGAAAGCAAGTCTGGTGAGACTAATACAAGGCTGGCTTTCAGTCAGGTGAAAGTCTCAGGCAGAGAAGGGCATGATTTGATGCTCAGACCATTTAGGAGGGAAATATGAGACTGAAATACTTGCATTCTGAGATGAAAGGAATCAAGCAGCGTCCTAAGCTTTGGAAATGCCTCTATTTTTTGTGTTCATTATGATCTTATATTCTGTACCTTAATAAATCTGAAAAAAAGGCCTTGGACTCTTCCTTCCATCTTTTGTACAAACCATTGTATTTACTGTGTACTAAATACTTGTTAGAAGTATTTTGGGGAATATGATATGAAAACCCTGCCACGCCTAAAAACTGTTCTGCTTTATTTCTATTTGGAATGGAGCAGAGTGGAAAAAAGCTTTCCAAGAAGTGATAAAAGGCCATGGCTTGGGTTCTTGGTCTTGCACATTAGTAGGTCTGAAGGCCTAAAATGCTGCTGTGTTGCTAAACAGATAGAGAATATAGGTTTTCTTACTGGTTTCTGGTGACCTGCAGTTAGGCTAATCTCATTATTCTAGCCGCTGAGAATCTTTTTGACAGCTAATGAGAATATTTTGTTTTTCTTCCAGGTTTTCATTTCAGTGCGGTTCTCCTCTCTGTGGCAAGGGCTGCCTTTTGAAGCAGCACATTCATTCTCCCCTTCAAGCACCATAAGTCTCATTTGCCAGCTTCAGAACCATGGCAACAGAAGAAAAGAAGCCAGATGCAGAATCCACCAAAACACAATCTACTCCTTCCTCCTCAACCAATCAGAGCAAGGTGTGTGTGGGGCTCCGAACAATATCCGTGTAAATACACATGGCAACTACCTGCATATTCAACAGGCAAACCAGAATTAGAGAACTGAATTCTCATATAGATTAAGATCTTCTCCAGATCTTGCTTCTGCTGTTGTCTCGAGCTGAAAACGTGCTGAGGATTTTATGGGAAAAGCGGATGGAGAACAGCCTCTTCTGTAGTGCTAGGGGTTTTTTTTGTCTTGTGGAAGTTCTTGCTAACAAAATACTTCTTGTCAGTTTGAGCATTAAAAAGGCAGGTTAGTTGTATCCTTGGAATGCCTAGAGGTGACTGGAGAATTGGTGAATCTGTGATCGTAGTTGCAAAGTGGGGAAGCAGTCATTATTCAGATTTTTTGAAGCCTGCAGATGCTCAAAGGAGATGTTATTGACTAACCATGAAGCCTTCGCAAAGGGTAAAAAGGGGAAAAGAAAAAAAAAAAGGGGGGATTTTAGGGGTATGGAGGAATTGGCTTGTGATTTAATTTGTGATAAAGATGAAAACTGCAAACGCTTAAAAGCACTACACAGATCAATACCAGGAGTAGTATTTTGATCTACCAAGCACTTTACGGTTTGACTGTTGGATTACTCTCACCTGTTTGTTATTGGCTTGGATGAAATCCATGTCACGGATGACTTGGTGTTGTGCATGCAACAGTAAGGCACTGCTGGCCCCAGACAGCAAGGGTGTGTCTTTTGTTTTGTTGTTTTTTGAATTTGGAGGGGGGGGAAATGTAAACGTTGGACACTCTGTTATGGTGAACATCCATGCTGTCCATTACAGTGTGCTGACCCAGTCTGATACAGAGCTTGTCACTGAGATACTAAATTTGGAATTTATTCAACTCATTCATACTTTTTTTTTTACAGCCTGCGCCAGTAAAACCAAACTATGCTCTAAAGTTCACGTTAGCGGGACATACAAAGGCAGTCTCATCAGTAAAGTTTAGTCCTAATGGAGAGTGGCTAGCCAGCTCCTGTAAGTATTGCTTTCTTTTTATCTCATCTAAAACATGCAGTTGTGGGCCTTAGAGTACTGCCTGCCTTTAGTGTTACCTCCATCAGATGGAGGAGGGATGTAGTGTCATGTTTTTTCTTAAAAGGAGCAATACCAAAGCTGTCAGTCTTTGAGATAATCTGCTTTAAGCTTTTTAAGTTCTGTTACTTTGAACACTGGATCTTCTATGTGTTGCCAAGTTGGAGAGTCCTCACCTGTTCAGCTTCCTTTATTGAGCAAACGGGCAAAAGCAAACACAGGATTCTTTTCCTGTGCAAAGGAAACCCTTGTGCTGTTCTGTATTGCTAAAGACATAGCTTAAGCTTTTAAATTAAACTTTGTGTAGAGTATCTGCAGGCAAAAGCTTAGCTCTGGGAAATAAGGAAGGTAGCTTTGTGCTACTAGAATGGACTGTGGAGTGTGGTATGGAGGACTGGCCACGTGCTTCTGTCCTGTGTGCCTGTGGTGTTTTAAGTCAGAGCCTTTGATTATCCCAGTGAAATGTGCAGACGGTTATTATAAATAGTGTTTCACTACTTGCTGGTAGATCAAGTCCTCTTCCTGTCAGCTTTGGTATTTCCTGAAATTTTTTTGGTAGTCAACATTGCTTGACAGCTTTCCTTTGAAAATGTGTTTATATGACCCTCAGCGATCCAGAAAGGATCCATATATAACGGAAGGGCAATAGGAAAGAAGGACATTGTTGAATATGATGGTGAGGGCCACTTGAACGTATTCTGGACATGGGAATGACTTAGGTATTTGGCTTAACTGCGCATAGCCTTAATAAGACCAGTGCAGTGTACCATATATATATAATTTTTATGTTCCAAGTGTCCTCATTAAAGTCCCCCCCGTCTCCCCCGCCCAGGTTTTCCACCCTCTACCTCTGGCAAATATCAGCCTTTTTCTCTGGTGTGTTTTGCAAGTTAACACGGATAATATGTTTGGGTTTTTGCAGGCATTAATTCAGTCCAGCTTGTGGTGTAATTTTTGTTCTTTTTGGGGAAAAGCGTTGCAGCATTTCTATGGAACGGTGCTACTTTTACCACTGGCAATCTAAAACAAAAGTAGAAACCCAAGTTGTCATCAGAGAAACTAAAGCAGCTGGAGACTCTGTGCATTCCAGGCAGTTTAGGTAATCTCAGCTGCTGCAGTCTGGCCTGTACGAAACTGTTCTTTACCAATTACATATTACCTTATACACTTAGGTCTGCCTGGGGAGGGAGAACTACGCAGTGTTTGCAGAGATGTAGTTAGCATGTTTCTTTCTACCTGGAAGGGACAGCTCTATCTGTTAGTGCTGTTAATCTCCTAACTGGCACGTTCTTTTCCAGCTGCTGACAAACTCATTAAAATTTGGGGAGCGTATGATGGCAAGTTTGAAAAAACAATATCTGGTCATAAACTGGTAAGTATGAGGAGATTACTGTGCACTTGAATATGTATTTATTTGTTATGAATTTTGCTTTCTTTTCCTCATCCAGAAATTTCCATTCTTGGTTAGTTTGACTTGTGTAGAAGGTTTGTTCTTCAGTCTCCTTTTGTACTTCTTTGTTTATACAGTCCTGTGCAACAGCCTAGGACTGGAATTGCTGAAGTAATACCAGGTCAGGCTGGAAATATGGGTGAAGTGCAGGCTGATAATGAAGTAGCTGCATGCACACTGCCTAGCCATTTTCTTGAGTCCCTCCATTTCAGGAACACCAACCTCAGATATGGGGCAGTGCCTTCTTGGGTGAAAATCCCTGTAAACTCTGACACTGTGCCCCGTTCCATCTTTCCTTCGTATATGGAGCAGAATGGCTTGCCTTTTAAGGAGATTGAATTTTTCTTGTGGGTTTGCCTACATAAACACAACACTTAGTCATTCTGCAAAGTTCTAAAGAAAACAGAAATTCCCAAACCCTTTGTTTTGTTTTCTAAAGTTTCTAACGTGCTGAAGTTTCCTAAGTAAAAATGAAGATTCACCAAAAGAAAAAACAGTAGAATCTTGTCCTCCGGCCCTTAGGGACTCAAACCATAAAGAGCAAGCCATTTGTCATGAAGAGAAGCCACTGATTCAGATTAGTTTATATAGCATACTGTTTATGAATTCCATGAAAGGGTGTTGGTGGCCACAGTAGGAGCTATGTGAACAAGCCATTGATGTTTTTGGAGTATATGGCTCAGCTTAAAATGAACAAGTATCAAAGGAGCTCTTAACCCAGTCAGATCAATGGATTTTCAACTCAATGCTGAATTTTCTTCCAGGCTTCAGCTGTGAATATAATATGCAGTCTGTGTTTTCCATTTTCCTGTGTCAGTGAACAAACAGAGCTGAGAAGAGAATTGTTTTCCTTTGTTTTAGGGTATCTCTGATGTTGCTTGGTCATCAGATTCCAACCTTCTTGTCTCTGCCTCCGATGATAAAACTCTTAAAATATGGGATGTAAGCTCGGTAAGAGCAGAAACTATTATTGACCTTCCTTCTCCCCAGCATTGGCATCTTAACTCATGTTCTTCTGAGAGACAACCTTGATGTGCTATGATGAGAGAAAAGGTAGAATTTTAAGCACTGGCTCCTCTTTGGGTAATACTCACTCCTTCCTGCTTATAACGAGCTGCTAGTTGAATGGGCTGTGAGGATGAGTGAGTTATGCCATCTGCATTCAGAAAGAGGAGGATGCTTATGGGTGCCACGAGGAGTCTGGTTATCTTTTGAGAGCGTTTAAGCCTTATGGTGGCAATGCAACCACAGGCTTCATTTCTGAAAGCAGCCTCTCAGACAAAACCTTTTTGTAACTCCTTATCATAGCTTCACTTGGTTTTGCTTCTCTCCCCCTTCCTTTTCTGCAATTACAATGAGCACTGGATGATTTGGTTGAATTTTGATTAAGTATGTTAAACTGCTTGGTTCTCCTGAGTTGCCCAAATGGTTTGCGAGTTGGCTCCAGTCATTAAAAATGTGGGGTTTTTTTCTTTCCTGGTGTTTTATTGTAGCTGGTCCTCTGCCCATATAAATCTGGGGTTAGAGATGGTTTCTTTGTGTGCTACACAGTGATTAACCTTAATGCAGCTTATCTGAATGCATTTATCACACTGAAGGATGCTGTATATTTAACTGTGCTAAATCTTATTTCAGGGTAAGTGCTTAAAGACATTGAAAGGGCACAGTAACTACGTTTTCTGCTGCAACTTCAACCCTCAGTCAAACCTCATCGTTTCTGGATCAGTAAGTGATTATTTTTTTTTTCTTTGTGCAAAGCAAGTACTGCACATCCGTGTCACCTGACACTAAGGGGACAGACAGGTTCTTTTAGGGATCCTTGGCAGAATGATGATGGCACTAAAACGTAGTTACAATTAAAGCTTTATTTTCTTAACAGGATATTATGATTAGTGTAGCACAGAATTTATGATTAGAATGGCACAGGATTTCTACAAGCAGAATCAATGTAGTACAATTTATAGGCAGCGTAATACAGAATTTATAATACAATTTAATTTATAATTTGTAATCGCCTAGTTTCTAACTTAACTCAAAGTATGACTTCTAGTCACCCGGACCCTCTACAGATCGGGTCAGATCTTAATATATGGCTTGCTGTATCAATATAACAATCACAATCTAGACTTGAAAATCATATAAAATAAAAGAATATGAGTCACTCACTCAGTCCTCGGAGGAAGCAGATGATGGTGGGGGTGTCCCTGGCTACCAGAGCAGTCATGGTCTCACTATCCAGCAGCAGCTCTGGTCCAGGTTCCCTCCTTAGGACTTGTAACTGCTTGATTTTTTTAGACCGTGGTCTGTGTGCTTTTATGCTTCCGCATTCTGGGACAGGGTGATCACTGCCACCAGGTTGGCTGGCTGCCTGGGACCTTCAAGGCCAGCGAGGAAGGTGGTAATTGGCCTGGCACCCAGCAATCTTGAGGCTGGCAGGGAGGGGAAGAAGAAATCTGTTTGGTTTGTCTGCTTGGTTCATAGGACCTTCAGGGCCTGATGAGGAGGGAAAGGGAACAAATACCTGACCTGCTCAGTCACAGAGAATGGCTGCTTGCCTTATAAAATGGCATTAGTTATGCTAGCCACATTACCAAGGGTTGGGAGCAGTGGGTACCGGACGCAACCCCTTACCATTTCAATTCTCTGTCTTCCTCCACAAACACAGCTTGTAGTCAGGTGAACTGCACAGTGCCACTGCTGTCTTTGCTTGGGGACACAGTCAAGCCCTTAACCCATCTTCAACATGCAGATTTCCTGCAGGGAGAGGAAGAGTTTAGGGAGCTATGTTCCCAGTCTGTTATTTTTGCCCTGAGTGGTGCTTGTGTCCTAGGCGTTCTGATGCAGCTGCAGTGCAGCTGGAGGAAGGCACGTCTGTCTAGTCAAGCTATAACACCTTGCATGCCTCGAATAGGTGCATCATTAAACCACCTTGTGCATTTCTTCAATCTTCAGTTTGACGAAAGCGTGAGGATATGGGATGTGAAAACAGGGAAGTGCCTCAAGACGTTGCCTGCTCATTCTGACCCAGTTTCAGCTGTAAGTCCCTTCTGATAAATGAGCACACTAAGATGCTTATTTTGTTTAGCAGAGCTCCTTTTCTACCTCTGTTTATAGAGAAGTGGGTTTGTGCTCTAACTCTTACTGTCAAGTCCTTACACAGTGTAGGGGATGGGCTGTGGTGGATTTGCCAGTGGTCATTGCTCAAACAGAATGAAATGAACAGTGTTTTCCTTAAGATCGATACGGATTGTGGTCTTGGGTGTTAATGTGGGGAGCAGTGAATAGTAGTGTGCCGGTCATGCCTGAGTCTAGCACTCTGATGCTGGGGCATGGATCTGTGGTCACTTGAAGCTCGGAGAACAACCTGTATGTCTGTTGCTTTCGTGTTGTTCCAAGCTATTACTAAAGTCCAGAGCAGGGTAGTTCCATAGTACGCTCTGTTTCAAATCTCATTAATTTAATAGGTGAAAGGAGCTTGGAATACAGCAATATCCATTCCAATAAAGGAAAAACAGAAAGTGTTCAACTCTTAATGTTTTGAAGTGAAGGAAACTGAAAAAAATTTGAGCCTCAGATGTGCCAAACCATGGCTGTTGTTACATGATTGTTCTCCCTTGTGTAGAAGATATTTCACACTTAGAAATGTACATTAGCAGTAATTATTCTTTAAAATAGCAGTATTTTGAGGTGTAGTTCAAGGCAATAAATTGACCTTAAAACATATACATGGCTACGTATGAGGTTAAATTCCATGCCCTTAAAATTATAAGGTGCTATCCCCAGGCTCGATACTGCTATTATTCAAGCAACTAATGCTGTCTGAACAGAGAATCTGTGTGTTCATGTGTTCTTAGCTTCTAAAGAAACATGTATTCCAGTTCCTGATGCTTGAATGAACAGCTGTAGTTAACATCCAACCCTCTTTATAATTATGCCAGACAAACTAGGCGGGGGGGAAGAATCTTGGTTTTTATAATCATGTTACCCATCTGAACGCATGCCTATTGTTTGTATGTTGTGTTGACTTTCTGCTTCGATCTACGTGATTTGCAGTGTCAGTAATGGAAGATAAGTACTTTCAGTGGAGCTTAAAAATCTGATCTATATGAACATCAGTAAAGTTATTTTTCCCCTTCTGTAATATTACAGGTGCATTTTAATCGTGATGGATCCCTGATAGTGTCAAGTAGCTATGATGGACTCTGGTAAGTGGTTATTTCTTGTCTGTGGCACTGTTAAGACCTTTTGCACTTAAGAAAAGGACTTTTTTAAAAAAGGCTTGTATTTGTAATGTTACAATTGGAACAAAAACCAATAGTAATGATTCTCATGTTTTTAATAGTCGAATCTGGGATACAGCATCAGGCCAGTGCTTGAAAACACTGATTGGTGAGTAGGAATATTTCTTGTTTGTGCTCTATTTTTCACTGTTAAGTTGTGACATAGATATTCTGCATCATTGCCGTGAACAGTGGCTTCCTTAACCTCTATTTTACTGTCTTCCTGTCATTCTGTTAGTACGCTGTTGTCCTCTTACCTATTGCAATAAGAGGAATTATCCTTTCACATGAATGGAAACTTGCTTAAGCTTTGAGTGTTGTTTAGTCTAGATGGACAAATGGGAGTTTTTCCAAGTTTTCTACCATTCAGCTGTGTAGAGCTTGTTGTGCAGCAGTTCAAAACCGCAACAAAGTTGTTTGTGCTGTTGGATGTGATGGAAGCAGGTAGTCTGTGACTACACAAGCTCCCTTTTTATTGCAAGATGCATGAAGGTATCTTGTGAACATAGCTAGTAAAAGGAAACCACCTGTTGGGCATATGTTCCCTGGTCCTTCATATTCTTATAAAGCATTATATAGGCAAGTTATATAGCACTGCAAATCAGTGGCATGTATTTTAATATAATGATTTTTTTAAAAGGTAGAGATACGGTCTTGCTCCAAGTGTTGATGCACGGAAGGAAAGTTCAGTTACAAAGGATTATTTAAAATGTTTGTGAGCAGAATGCTCAATATCCTTTTCTTAAATTAATGAAAACAAGCACCTTTCCTACACCTCTCTTTTTCTTGAAGTACCAAGGGACAAGAAAACTGAAAGCTATTTTCAGTGAAAAGATTAACAACAAATTATTGTCAAAAGAAATTCTCTGTCAATGAGACAATACAACCGTGCACTGTTTACTATTGCTTTTATTTTCACTGTAGATGATGATAACCCTCCTGTGTCTTTTGTGAAATTCTCACCAAATGGCAAATACATACTAGCTGCAACTTTGGACAAGTAAGTATTTAAAAAAAAAAGAAAAAAGAAAAACCCACAGGCTTTGAAGTGTTTAAGTATCAGATAAAACTTATTTTGCTGCTCTTTAGCTATCTTACTAATGATACTACACAAGTTCATATATACTATCTAACTTGAAAAGCCTGCAAGGTGTTTTGCTTCGCTAATGGCACAGGCAGGACTTGAGTCTTCTTAAAGTCTTAGCACTGCTTAGTGACTGCAACACCCATTCATTCCTTCTTGTACCTTTCAAAACCTCAGCATTTCCTTGCATTAATTGTATGAGTCTTTTGTAACATCAAGAGACAGAAAACCTAGCCTATAAAAGGCTACAATTTATAAATAACTTTGTGTGTAAGGTATAAAAGCAGGGCAGGTGGGCTGATTGTACTCTGAATGATTCACCTGGGGAATTTCCATGCAGCTACTAAGAAGGGATTAGCTGGTCTGTCATCTCCATTCAGAGATGGTAATGATGCTGTTGTTTTCGTGAGACCTTCCTTTCCTAGGTTGTGAGGTTGATGCCCTCCTTTTCTGAGCATCTTTGTACAAAGGATGCCACAGATTGTTGCCTGCTTTTTTTTCAACTAGTCAATGAAAAGCAGAGAAAACCCAGGTTAGGCTCCCTGAGGAAGAGAAAGGGGACTAGCTGGCAAGCTCTGACAGTAGCCTGGGTATCAGTACAGCTGGCTTGTATCTGGACATGCATGGGGCTTGCTTAATCTGTGGAAGAGCCTAGTGCTTGCCTGAAACAGGTGACTTGCTTTATGTCCAAATTGTATTTAGTAGCATGATTATTCACTTGCTCTGCACTGGCTTAGGCTTGAATGGGTTGAGGATGCCTCAGTCCAGTGTTTACTCCCCTGAAACACCCTGGTGCAGGACTGCAAGTTCAAAAATTAGGGCAGTGTGTGTGTATTTTGGTCTGTATCTACTTTCAGCAGTGTTTGATTTTAAAACAGGTGGGGGAAGGGGGATAGTTTGTAGAGCCATCCCTGATTCTAGTGGGTTTCTCACCCTGAGAAGGATGATGTCTAATGAAACCTGTATGAATCTTTTGGATGCATTGGGAATTGGGGGATGTCTGCCAAACGACCTTATCCTTTCTTGCTGTCATTTGTTATCCTGCCCATTGTTTCGTTTTGCTAATTGTCTGGTCATTATTTATAGAGGAGTAAAATTGATACTTTGAGATTAACTAACGCTGCATTCCAAAGCCAGGCTAAAGTGATCCATGTAGACTTTAAGAACTCTGGTATGGAGAAACTTTTTCTGCTGCTAGGAAATTGTCGGATGGAAAAACCTCAAGAACTAAAAATCTTTGTTTTTCTGTTGTTTTCTAGCACTCTTAAACTTTGGGACTACAGTAAAGGAAAGGTAAAAACAATCCTGTCTCGCTATGTAGACTAAGCTTATAGGAAAATCTGGATTTCATACCTGCTTTTTAAGCTTACTTAACATTTTATGAATACTATAGAGAAAAGTGTTAGTAGCCCTTTATTGGAGAGGACAAACTTTTAGTAGGGCCTGTTGTGATAGGACAAGGGGTAATGGTTTTAAACTAAAAGGAGGTAGATTTAGACTAGATATAAGGAAAACATTTTTTACAGTGTGGGTGGTGAAGCACTGTAACAGGTTGCCCAGAGAGGTTCTAACATTGGAAACATTCAAGGTCAGGTTGGACGGGGCTCTGAGCAACCTGATCTAGTTGAAGATGTCCCTGCTCACTGCAGGAGGGTTGGACTAGATGACCTTTAAAGGTCCCTTCCAACCCAAACCATTCTCTGATTTGATACGATTCTATGACTAAAGATGCATTTGGGAAAAAAAAAAAAAAAAGTGATTGGGCTCCTGCATAGCCCTGAGATATTAAGCCATAGTTCTGCATTTTTCTCTTTACGAACAATAAATTGCTGTTGCTCTCTTTCTTTGTGGTAAAGTGACAAATGTAGGGCTTTCCCTGCCCCCCC